TTAAATAATTAATAAAGTTTTTAATTTACTGACTTCTTTATATTCAATGTTAATAAAAAATAACATCAGAAAAAAAAATTTTTAATAAAATTATATATAATTATATTAATATTATTATAATAATAAAATTTTTTTTTGCCAGAACTGTATATGCTATAACAAAAAATACCTTAAATTCCAACATCATGCTAATTATGCTTGAAAGTTTATTTAATTGATTTGCAATATCAAGAATAATAAAGCCGTTAACCTGATTAACTATATAAAGACCATTTATCCAATGAGTAGAATATATGAAGAAGTCCCTTTTTAAGTTAAAGGTGATAGATACAATGAGAAATAAAATCATAAAAAGTTTTAAAATATGTGTTAAAATATATACTATACACAAGTATACCAAATGTTTCTAGTTTTATAAGATTTTCCTATTGAACTTTTCTTTCTAACAATAGTTTTTGCAAGTTGTAAAGGGCTAATTGCATTGCTAATTAAAAAAAAATCTTTCAATACAAATCTCACTAATGAAATAAAAAATATAATTTTTGATTTACCTTTAAGCAACTTTTCTTTGTCTTTATTCATTTTAAAATCATCATGTTTACATGAATTACCGACAACTTCACCAAAACCAATTTGAATTTCGTTACTCAGAAATTTCATCATTAAGATTGTATCATGGGACCATCCAGTTGCTCTTTGTTATCCTAATGGTTTTAAAAAATCTTTTTGGTTTTTTCGATTTTTTTTTTTTACTTTGTCTCTGATTACCAAATGTAATAAATGCATTTGTATATTTTAAAACTTTTTAAAATACATAAAAGGAAAAAAGTACTTACGTTCGCATATAAATTGCAGGACTAACATCTAAAAATACATCTTTCCATAGCTTATTAATTATACGATTATGGTAAGCATATTCAAATAAACTTACATCATGAAAAAAATCCATTAGAATCTGAAAACATGTGATGCTTTCATAAAATTACAAAAATAAGCATAATAATAATGTATCAAAATAAATAACTTATTAATACGATTTCCTTACAACGAAGTAAACACTAGTTGGACCCAATGAAGAGGCCAGTCTCTTCGAAACATATATTTTGTTCTTTCTTTTGAAAACAAACTTTCGTTTATTACAAATGATATTTTACTAATATTTGATTTAAATCCAAATATATGTTCTTTGATGACTTTGTCATATTTAATTAAGAGATTATTTATATTTTCTAGTATTACTACTAAAAAAGAACCAGCTATTTCTGCTTCTGCCTAAAGAAAAACTGTTGTAAATCTTATTATTTTCTTGGTTGTGCTGCTAATAAAAAAAAAATACAAACCATTTGCCAGTCATATTCAGATGCTACCTATTCCTGACTCGTTAAAAGAATCCTTATTATTTTCAGGTAAAAAGATTATTTTGTATCTTGCAATACCCAGCACAAGTATCACTAAACCCTTGAATGAAAAAGAAGACTTGAAAAAATTAGAGAAACAAGCAAAAGATGCAGTGTAATGGAAGTGACCCACAGAACACTCCCTGTCCATTACAGCCAGCCCACAAAGCATACTCAACAACTACTGCATCTCTTACAATGAATCCATAAACTTTGAAGAAGAAGATGCAAGAAAAAAATAAAATAAGAAGCAAACTTCTAGTTAAATAAGAAAGAAGAAAAAGACCTGTCAAAGGAAGCAGGCATAGGATTTCCCAGCAGGCGAAAAAGACCTTTCAGGCAAGATACTCTGTTCCTCAAGTTCAAATTACCTTCACCATATTTCAGAAGTTTTTCAACAATTGGATTTATGACTTTCTATGATATTGAAAGATAATTGATGAACACAAAACTATGCAAAAAATGGGAATTTCATGAATGATAAAACAAACCTCTACAGTAATAAGTTCTTTTAAGAACTTATCTTCATCAAATTTGCCATCGTCTTTAGGAGGCTTTTCTTGATCATTTATCTAAATAGGTATGTGTTATCGTACATATAAAAAAAGGTTATCATAAGACATAGTTGCGAACTAGAACATAATTACCTCTTGGTTGCAAGGTGTACACGGCCGATCTTGTGTGTAAGCAAGAATACTGCTTTCCATTATTTTCCGTTTGGTAGGGATGACATATCTATCAGTCTGAGTATCATTCTTAGAATAGAGAATACAATAATGAGTGTACCATTTTTAATCAATATCATCCATAATTTTTATCATACCATAGCATTGTCAATTCTCCTCATTATGCCAGTCACTGTTCCAGCCTGTAAAAGAAATAGTGTATTATTAGCTGTCAGCTGTTATACTGTATGTATAAGTTAAATAACAGATAATATTGCAAACCTCTGCCAATCGCATTTCCCTCTTCTTTGCTTCAACTTTAGCATCAAATTCAATTCTATCCCAGAATAACTTTGAATCCATATCACTTTTACGATGACCCTTGTTAATACATAAATAGAATATTGTTAGACTTGTTCACAAAGTAAGAAGTTCTTTTAATATGTGGACCACAGCGAACACGTAGATCATAAAGAGAATAACGCGTAGATATTCTCCATAGCTGTGTGAGCTTATTACCTCCATAAAAGTTCTATGACGAACACGTAGATCATCAAAGAGACGACGCGTAGACTTCTCTTCTAGTCATAGAAGTTTACGGAGACTCAACTACGACGAACACGTAGATCATCAAAGAGACGACACGTAGACTTCTCTTCTAGTCGTAGTGAGTGCTCTAAACCACTGTTTAAAACCTCGGCAACGAGTAATACTTGCCTTAAATTTTTTATCCAAAAGAGTAGCGTAATACTTGGCTTCAGGTATGCCGTCTTTTATAAGATAATCGAGAGATTTCCTTAGTGTAAAAGCTTCCTTTTGGAACGAGCCAGTGAAGTCTTTTTCTTGTTGACGATGCGGAAATATTCCAATCTTCAGGTGGTATATTGGTAAAATATGAGCAGACTCGGGTTCCCTATTTATGTGACATATGTTGCTACGCTGGTTACGTAATGCGATCTACGTTTAAATATAGCCATTTTCTGCCGGACGATTACATAGCAATCATTTCTTACCTTCTATGTCTCCCTGATAAGAAAAACACGAAATGAATTTAAAAGGGTCATAAGAGGAATGGTCTTATCAATTCTCATGAGTGGCGTTATCAAAGTTCATATGTCACAATGACTTAGCATTTCCCAGCTTACCGCGATCGTCGGAGAGATCGTCAAAATTAGGTCATAAGCAAAACCAGACTCACGCTAAGTGGAGAACCAAGAAAACGGCAAAACATACTTGGTTTTTGGATAAATATAACGGTTCCGGATGGTATAAAATACTTCGTTTTTTTTCTCTTGTAAGGTGGGTACCAATAACGTTTTCTACCGCTAATTCCAAAGTATACTACTATTTGATATACTGCTGTTTAATTAAGATTATAAAACGTATTTATACATACCGTTATTTTGTATTTTAGGATCGTAAAAAATGAGTAGTGATAAGAAAACCACTGTCAAGACCAACGATTCCTCTACCTCCAAGACCAATGATTCCTCTGTTTTCAAGATCACACTCCTAAGATCAAAGACCCCGGTACCTCCAAGATCGAAAATAATAATACTCCCAAATGAATAATAACGTTCCCAAGACAGATAATAACACATACAATACCGCTAATCCCACGTATAGTGAGTAAAGTTTATATCCAGTCTTCTATTCCACTAACATGGTTAATGATTTGATTTCTTTTCTTTTATCGCTTTGTGCTTGCTTCGCTAAAATCATTAATTCATATATGTGGTACACAACCGGTAATAGCGATTGTAATAATGATGATTGCGTTTCTTAATGTATAATCAGAATTAATATCAGAACAACCACACAGTGGTTATGTATATATTGTTTCTTTGGAAATACTGTATATTTTCTGTAAGCGGTCTAAGACTATAATAAAGAAGGGACAGTGAAATCCCGACTTAAAACACATGACATTGCTCCCCTGAGGCTCATTATAACGTGATGTGATTTGTGGTTAAGATGTGGTTATAATTATTTTCAGATTAAATTTTTATTCATTTTCTATGGTCGCTTATAATAGAATAACCAGGATTACATACTCTTACACTCTTCTTTTTAGATTTGTGTATCTTTTTTATTGATTCATTATTGGGTAAATATCAGAACAATTTGAATCCGAGGTATCGCTATTATCATTAACAAAATCATAATTATATATTTCTGTATATACAGTATATAGCAACATTGCTTGACAATATGCTCTAGCTTTTTATGAAACATTCTCATTCCATATTCCAGATTTATGATGATATCTTTGAGATATTTAAGCTCATTTTTTGCTTTTCCTTCCACATGTGGTACGGCCAAAACTTTCTACTATTGTTTTAACTCCTGCTTGGTTTTTAGGATCTATTGTGGATTTGATTGCATTTTCAACATCTTTTGCAAATGGGTCCTGATCTATCAAAAAGGTGGTTATCATTTTGGTTACACAAAAAATTTTTTTGCATAAGCATATTTTTAGTAGTTTTCTTTACAGAAAACATGTTTACACAAAAAATTTTTGTGTAACCAAAATGATAACCACCTTTTTGATAGATCAGGACCCATATA